TTTTTTTTTTTTTTTTTTTTTTTTGCATTTAATAGGAGGTGTTCACAGTAGAGTTTCAGCAGCTGTTAATGAATAACTGCTTAATGAAATATAACTATTTTTTGGCCTACATTTGAATTTTTGACAGCAAAATGTCCACCAGTACCTGGTTCAAGAGATAAGAACAACCCCGTGTATGTAGCTCCAACTATCAACAGTCCAATTAAGCGCCCAGAAAGAACCTTGAAAGAGAAGAAGCTTTTCAAGCTGACAGGAGATATTTTGGGTATGGAGAGCAAACAGCAATGTGTCCATCCTGCAGCACATTTCCCAGCAGAGGGGGAGTGAAAAGAAAGTGAAAATATAGGACAATGAAAAGCTATCTTCAAATACTCACCTTGAAAAAAATACGGACTCCAAGGCAGTGTGGTAAATGGGAAGACACCTGAACTCAGGAGTCATGAGATGTCCGCGTGTGCTTGAATCAGTCCCTTCCTCTGCGCACAGAGCATAATAACAGAGCGTGCTCTGTACACTTCTCAGGCTGGAGGAAAAATTAATATGTTTTCTAAATGGCAACCCTCTCAGTGCAGGAGAACTGGGTCAGCACATACAGTGTTTGGGTTATCGGATTTCCTGGGCCAAAGAAGACCAATTCTGTGTTTATTGGCCTTCCCTTTCTTGTGGACATAGTCCATAGAGAGAGAGAGAAAGGTTGGGGGCGGGGTGCATTTATAAGAACTAAAATACAGCAATTTTCATGTGGGATTTTGTGTACCTTATTTCAAGTAAAATTTCTGATTAGCGGCAGAATAATTCTGGGAAGGAATATAACAATGTTTGTGGGTACCACTGCATGCCAAATACATTGGCTCGTCTGTTTACAGCTGTTTGGTTGAACCATATGGAATTGCCTTCACCTTTTAAATATGCCATGAAGGAGAGGGTGTAGAGAATTCATAAGCTAACCACTCAACTAATTTTTTTTCATCTTCTATCCTCGTACAAATCCTCTTCCTTATCTTGTTGATGACGACAGTCTACTCAGCACAGAACTCGAATAGGTTTTACCTCCATCAGGCTATCCAGAAGAGTTTCTCCCACTGTTTCTCAGAGATCAGACTTCTGAAGCATTTCTACCCATGGGCCAATCGCACCTTCCTAACCTTTATGGGGTTACAGAGATACGGACACAGTTCTGGGCCCCAGCTTCTTGGATGCTTCTTGGTCAGTATTTTCTACCAGTTACCAACACTTTGTTGTAACTTTAGATCGTAAGTAAGCTGTATTCTGAAAGTTGTTGCATTCATTTATCTCAGGATTGGTGGCTTCCTTTTGGGATTTAGAACATCTCCTAGGTTCCTGGGGAAAGAAACCTAAAAGACATGCTCATCTCAGTAAAGGTGTTTTTGGTGCATTTAGGAGAGCTTTTACAGATGGCAACTCCTATGCATTGCGTGTTGGTTCTTTTTTTTTTTTTTTAAGATATTTATTAACTTATTTAGAGAGTGTGTGTACCAGTGGGGGGAAGGGCAGAGGGAGAAGGAGAGTAAATCTCCAGCAGACTCCATGTTGAGCACGGAGCCCAAACAAGGGCTCAGCTGAGGGGCTTGATCTCCCAACCTGAGATCATGACATGAACTGAAATCAAGAGTCAGGCTGAGCCACCCAGGTGCCCTGCGTGTTGATTCTTTCTAGTTCAGTGTTGGATGGTGACGGTTCTAGGTTCAGCACACATTCTCTTTGCAGTCTGTAACTCTGTGCTGAATAAAGTACTGACTGAAGAAAAAGTGAATCGAGCCATGGGTACCCAGTGCCATCACCATGGGCTTCGTCCTCCTCTCCGTCTCCTTGGGTCTGCAGTACAGTGTCGAAAAGCACAGACTCGGAAGCCAGACTGACCTGGTTCAGATCCTGGTGCTCTACCTATTAGCAGTGTGTTCTTGGGTAAATTACAACCTGTTGTGCCTCTGTTTCCCCATCTATATGATGAGGATAATCTTGGGACCTGCCCTATAAGATTGATGTGAAGATTAAAAACTCAGTGGATCTTAAAACAATGTCTGACCCATAGTATACACTGGGTAAGTGTTCACTATTATTATTAACGGGGGCAGTTGGGGCTCTGGCTAATCTGCTAGAAACACAAAGCATCCGTGAGTTACCGGACATGCTAAGGAAGAACAACAGCAATCTATAGATACAGATAAAGAAATAGAATTAAGTAGACCTGAGGTGAAAAGCAGTAAAAATTGACCCTAACATGGTTTATCTCTTCAACTATTACCAAATCTTTGTTTTCAAAATTTTATGTTTTTCTTTTTTTTTTCTATAGATTTTATTTATTTATTTGAGAGAGAGCATGAGCAGGGGGAGGGGCAGAGGGAAAGGGAGAAGCAGACTCCCCAGTGAGCAGGGAGCCCGATGCGGGACTCGATCGCAGGACCCTGGGATCATGACCTGAGCTGAAGGCAGACGCTTAACCGACTGAGCCACCCAGGTGCCCCTATTTTTTTTTTCAAGATTTATTTATTTATTTTAGAGAGAGAGAGCATGCAGATATATCTGCAAGATGAATATCTTGAATGTGCTAAAGTGTGTATACATTCTTAATTTTAAAAGGTATTTCCAGTCTTCGCCTTATTATACCATTTAACACTCCCATGAGCAATGTCTGAGTCTACCCACATCCCCCAAAGCCCAGTGAAAACCGGTGTTTTCAAACAATACCCAGAGCTATGGAATAGATGTAAAGGCTTTGCAAGTGCCTTCATGAGAAAATGCAAGTCAAAACTAGAGGAAGGCACCATTTTCCACCTCTCATTTGGGCAAACCTTGCCTCTGCTTTTGCCTTCTTCATTCCATCCTCCCTGTACTGTTGTTTTCAAACATAAATCTGTATTCTTCCCCTGTTCAAAACCTCCCGATAGATTCCCATCATACTTAAAATTGCAGACCCTTGGGGCGCCTGGATGGCTCACTCTTTAAGCATCTGCCTTCGGCTCAGGTCATGATCCCAGAGAATGGTGTGAGGTGATACCTCATTGTGGTTTTGATTTGCTTTTCCCTAATGGTTAGTGATTTTTACATATACTGTTGGCCATTTTTCTTCTTTAAAAAAATGTATATTCAGGTCCTTTGCCCATTTTTAAATCGGTTATTTGGGTTCATTTGTGTGGTATTCAGTTTTGTGAGTTCCTTATGTATTTTGGATATTGACCCCTTATTAGATGCATGATTTGCAAATATTTTCTCCCATTTAATAGTTTGCCTTTTTGATTTGTTGGTTTCCTTCACTGTGCAGAAAGTTTTTAGTTGTTGTAGTCTCATTTGGTTAGTTTTTGCTTTTGATGTCCTCTCCAAAGGACTGCCAAGACCAATGTCAAGGAGCTTTGCTCCTGTTTTCTTCTAGGAGTTTTAAAGTTTCAGGTCTTATAGTTAAGTTGGTAATCCATCTGGAATTGATGGTCGTATGTCACATAAGGAAAGGGTCCAGTTTCATTCTTTTGCATACAGGTATCCAGTTTTTCCAGCACCATTTGTTGAAGAGACTGTCTTTCCCTATTGTATCTACTTGGCACCCTTGTCATAGATTAGTTGGCCGTATATGCACGAGTTAATTCTGGGCTCTCTATTTAGTTCCACCATTCTGTGTGTCTGTTTTTATGCCAATACCATACAGTTTTGATTACTGTAGCTTTCATAGTATAGTTTGACATTAGGAAGTGTGATGCCTCCATCTTTTTCTTTCTCAAGATTACTTCGTCCATTTGGCGTATTGGGTGGGGTTCATACAAATTTTAGGATTGTTCTTCTATTTCTGTGGGGGAAAAAAAATGCCATTGAATTTTGATGGGGATTGCCCTGAATTTGTAGATGACTTTGGATGGTATGGACATTTTAACAATATTCTTTCAACCCATAAACATGGGATATTTCCAGTTATTCATGTCTTCATTTCTTTCATCAGTGTCTTACAGTTTTCATTCTACAGATCTTTCACTTTCTCAGTTAAATCTACTCCTAAGTATTTTATTCTTTTTGATGCTCTTGTAAACGAGATTATTTTCTTTATTTTTCATTGGTAGTTCATTGTCATTGTAACAAAATGCAGCTGATTTTTGTGTACTGATTTTATATCCTGCAACTTTACTAAACTCATTTATTGGTTCTCACGGGTTTGTCTTTTTTGTTTGTTTGTTTTGGTGGTCTATAGGGTTTTCTGTATATAAGATCATGTTATCTGTAAACAAACAATTTAGTTTCTCCTTTCTGATTTGGATTCCTTTTACTTCTTTTTCTTATCTAATTTCTTTGGCTATGATTTCCAATAGTATGTTGAATAGAAGTGGCCAGAGTAGGTATCCTTGTCTTATTCCTGATCTTAGAGGAAAAGATTTTAAGCTTCTCACAATTATGATGTTAGCTTGACATACATGGTCTTTATTATGTTAAGGAGCATTCCTTCTGTGCCTAATTTGTTGACAGTTTTTATCATGGAAGGATGTTGAATTTTGTCAGATATTCTTTGTGTATCTTTTGAGATCATCATATAATTTAATCCTTCATTCTGCTAATGTGGTGTATCATGTTTATTGAATTGTGTATGTTGAATCATCCTTGCAACTCAGGGATAAATCCCACTTGGTTACAGCATATGATCTTTTTAAACATACTTTTGAACTTCATGTGTTAGCATTTTGTTGAGGATTTTTGCATTTGTGCTCATCAGGGATATTGGCCTGTGATTTTCTTTTCTTGTATGTTTTGGTATGAGGATAATGTTGGCCTCATAAAATGAATTTTGAACAGTTTCCTCCTTTTTAATTTTTTGGAAGAGTTTGAGGATGGATATTAATTCTTCTTTAAACGTTTGGTAGAATTCACCCATGAAGCTATCTGGTCCTGGTCTTATCTTTGTTGGGAAGTTTTTTATTACAGTCTCCATACTTGTTATTAGTCTGTTCAGATTTTCTATTTTGTCATTATTTAGACTTAATAAGTTGTGTGTTTCTAGGAATTTATCCATTTCTTCTAAGTTGTCTAGTTTGTTGGTGTACAATTGTTCATGGTAGTCTCTTATAATCCTTTGTTTTTGTGTTGCCAGTGTTAATGTCTACCCTTTAATTAGTAATTTTATTTGAGTCCTCTTTTTCTTGGTTTAGTCTAAAGGTGTATCGGTTTTGTTTATCTTTCAAAACATTTTTATTTTTGTATTTTCTATTTAGTCTTTATTTCATTTATTTCTGCTCTAATATTTATTATTTCCTTCCCTCTGCTAACTTTGGGCTTAGTTTGTTCTTCTTTTACTAGTTCCTTGAAGACCAAAGTTAGCTTGTTTATTTGAGATCTTTTTTCATAAAATAGGTGTTTATTGCTATAAAATTCCCTCTTTAAACTGCTTTAGCTGCATCCCATAAGTTTGGTATGACGTTTTACTTCCATTTTTGTTTGTCTCAAGGTACTTTTTAATTTCTTAATTAAACCCATTGATTGTTCAGAAGTGTGTTGTTGAATTTCCATGTGTTTGTGAATTTTCCAATTTGTGTCCCGTTACTGATTTCTAATTTAACACCATTGTGGTCAGAAAAGATACCTGATATATATGCTTTCAGTCTCCTTAAATTTAAGACTTGCTTTGTGGCCCAACATAGGACCTATCCTGGAGAATGTTCCATGTGCGCTTGAGAAGAATGTGTATTCTGGTTGAATGGAGTGTTTTGTATATATCTTTTAGGTCCATCTGGCCCATAGTGTTAACAAGTCTGCCATTTCCTTATTGATTTTGTCTAGACAATCTATCCATTGTTGAAAGTAGGGTATTGAAGTCCCCTACTATTACTGTATTGCTATTTATTTCTTCGATCAGGTAACATTTACTTTACATATTTAGATGTTCCAGTGTTGAGTGCATATATATTTACAATTGTTTTGTCCTCTTTATGAAGTGAGCCCTGTATCACTTTACCACAAATGACCTTCCTTGTCTGTTGTGACTGAGTTTAGCTGAAATTCTATTTTATCTGTTAAAAGTTAGAGCTACTTCTGCTCTTTCTTGGTTGCCATTTGCATGGAATATTTTTTTTCCATGCCTTCAGTTTCAGCCTCTGTGTGTACTTAAAATTAAAGTGGGTCTCTTATAGGCAGTATATTATTGGATCTTGTATTTTTACCATTCAGTCATTCTGTCTTTTTATTGAAGAATTTAATCTGT